GTTTACAAAACATGATATCATTCTCTAATCATTAGTCCTTCCTAATGACATGTCCAAAGAAAGTGAGATGAAATCTCACCATCCTCACTTTTAATGAGAATTCTGGGTGCACTTCCATCAAGACAGATTTATTCACTCTTCTGGAAGTCCATGGTATATATATGATTAACGTATCAATCTATCTATATCTGTCTATCTATGTGTGGTTTTTTGTTTTGTCTTTGCCAACACCATCATTTTCATGTGTCAATTATTCTTAGGTCCTCCTTTTTCATTGTCCAGCTTTCACATGCATATGTGACAGTTGACAATACCATGACTTAGGTCAGACATCCTTCTGTCATGAAAGTGATATCTTTTTTTTTTTTTTTTAACACTTTAAAGAGTACTTTTGAAGCAGATTTGCACAATGCAATATGTCATTTGCTTTCTTGACTACTGCTTCCGTGGGCATTGATCAGTGATTCAAAAAAAAAAAAAAATGAAATTCTTTACATCAATTTTGTTGCTATTTATCATGATGTTTATTAGTCTAGTCATGAGGATTTTCATTTTCTATAAGTTTAGGTGTAATCCATACTGATGATTGTAGCCTTGGATCTTCATCATCATCATTTCTGCAAACAAGATTGTGTCATCTGCTATTGTTGATGAACCTTCCTCCTATCCTGATGCTGCTTTCTTCTTCATGTAACCCAGCTTCTCAGAATAATTTTTGGCATACAAAATGAATAAGTAAGGTGAAAGAACACAATCCTGCCAGAAATATTTTCCAGTTTTAAACCACATAATATCCTCTTGTTCTATTTGAACAACAGACTCTTTACAGGTTCCTCATGAGAACAATTAAGTGTTCTGGAATTCTCATTCTTTGCAATGTTATCCATAGTTTTTTTTTATGATACACACAATGGAATGCCTTTGCAAAGTCAATAAAGCATAGGTAATATCTTTATGGTATTCTATGCTTTTGGACATCTGCAATGATATCCCTCATACTAAATCTTCTTCTGAATCCTGTTGGAATTGCTGTTTGCTCCCTGTCGATGTATGTCTGAAGCCATTTTTTTTTTAAATTTTGTTCAGCAAAACTTTGCTAGCATGTAATATTAATGATATTGTTTTAAAATTTCTGTTTTCTGTTTCATTCTCTTTCTTTGGTACACACATGGATCTCTATCATTTGGTGGGCCAGGTGGCTGTCTCCCAAATTTCTTGACAAGGACAAGAAAGCACTTCTAGCATTTCTTCTGTTTGTTGAAGCAGCTGAATTAGAATTCCACCAATTCATGGAACGCTGTTTTCCAACAATGCCTTCACCATGGTTCTAAGTCTTCATTCAGTTCTAGTGGTTATTGGGCATATGCTCCCTCCTAAATGGCTGAATGTTGACCAGTTATTTTTGGTACAGTGACTCTGTATTCCTTCTATTTTTTGGGGGTCAGTGTTTTCTGCATTACTTAGTTCTTTGCCCATAAAGTCCTTCAACATTGCAACTCGAGGCTTGGATTTTCTCTTAAGTTCTTTCAGCTTGAGAAATACCTATTATGTTCTTCCCTTTTTATTTTCTCACTCTAAGTTTGCATATTTCATCATCATGTTTTACCATGTCTTCTCAAGCCACCCTTTGAAATCCCCTTTTTGCTTTTTTATGCCATCATTTCTTCTGTTTGCTTAAGCTACTCTGCACTCAAGAGTAAGTTTCAGTCTCTTCTAACATCTATTTGGATATTTTCTTTTTTTCCTTTCAATGGCCTCTAGCTTTCTTCATGTAGGACGTCTTTAATATCATTCCACACCTCTCTGGTCATTAGCGTTTGGTGCATCAAATCCATTTTTGAGATAGACTCCAAATTCAAGTGGAATGTATTCAAGGTTGTACATTGGTTCTCTTGGACTTGGTTTAATTTTCTTCAGCTTCAACTTGAACTTGGATCTGAGCAATTGATGGTCTATTCAGCAGTTGCTCCCTAGGTTAACTAATACAATTGAGCTTCTCATGGTCTCTTTCATTGATGCTGTCAATTTGATTCCTGCATATACCCTCTGGTGAGGTCCAGCATATGTATAGTCATTATTTGTGTTGTTGAAAAAAAAAAATAATTCACTGTCATCAAGTCCATTCTGACTGATAGTGACCACCATTGGGTTTTTGAGGTTGTAAATTTTTATGGAAGTAGATCAGCCCCATCTTCCTTCCTCAGAGCTGCTGGTGGGTTTGAACTTTTGAACTCACAATTAACAGCCAAGTGCCTTATCCACTACTCCTTATGGTGTTGTTGTGAGTTATAATCACTGAGTCCATTTAAATTTATTAACTGTAAATAATGCCTAATCTAAATACTCAATAAGTAGATCATTGCTCATGTCAGATGGATCTTGGGTGAAAGCAACAAAAAACAGAAAAACATTTACTTGTGGTTTATTGACTATACAAAAGCATCTGATTGTGTGGATCATAGAAAATTATGGATAACATTGAGAAGAATGGGAATTCCAAACACTTAATTGTTCTCATGAGGAAACTGTACATAGACCAGGAGGTTCTCATTTGAACAGAACAAGAGGATACTGCATGCTTTAAAATCAGGAAGGGAGTGTGTCAGGGTTGTATCCTTTCAACATACTTATTCAATCTATATGCTGAGCAAATAACTTGAGTAGTTGGACTATATGAAGAAGAACTCAGCATCAGGATTGGAGGAAAATTGATTAAAAACCTGGAACATGCAGACAACACAACCTTGCTTGCTGAAAGTGAAGATGACTTGAAGCACATACTGATGAAGATTAAAGACTACAGTCTGCAGTATGGATTATATCTCAACTTAAAGAAAATGAAAATCCTCACAACTGAAACAATAAGCAGCATCGTGATAAATGGAGAAAAGATTGAAGTTGTCAAAGATTTCATATTACTTGATTCCACAATCAACACCATAGGAGGCAACAGTCAAGACATCAGACAACATATTGTCCTGGGCAAATCTGCTGTAAAAGACTTCTTTAAAGTGCTGAAGAGCAAAGATAATATCTTTGAAAACTAAGGTACACCTAACCTAAGCCACAGTATTTTCAATTGTCTCATAAGCATGTGAAAGCTGGACAATGAATAAAGAAGACAGAAGAAGAGTTGATGCTTTTGAGTTGTGGTGTTGGAGAAGAATACTAAGAGTATCATAGAGTGCTAAAAGGGCTAACAAATCTTTCCTGGAAGACTGCAGACAGAATGCTCCTTGGAAGTGAGAATGGTCAGACTTCATCTCATCTTCTTTGGTCATGTTGTCAGAAGAGTCCATTGCCTGGAGAAGGATGTCATGTTTGGTAAAATGGAGAGTCACTGAAAAAGGAGAAGGCCCTCAATGAGATGGATTGATGCAGCAGCTGTAACAGTGTGCTCAGATATAGCAAGGACTGTGAGGTGGGCAGAGGACCGGGCACTGTTTCATTCTGTTTTACATAGAGTTGCTATGAGTCAGACGTGACTCTATGGCACCTCACAACAACAACAATAACAAGCATGGTAGTTATCAATTGTTATCATCACAGGCAGTAATATTACTATTGATAAGAATGTTTTAGATAAAGAAATGCAATATGTGTGAATGCATTCTAAAAACAAAAGAAAGAAAACAATAAATACTGGCATATAAAAGAGTATAAAATACATACAAGAGTGTAGAGACAAAAGGAAAATCATCCTCATGGTGGCCTTTTTTCCATTCTACTGAGTGACATATTTCTTATTCATAGCCTAAAAAATCACATTTCATAAGAAAATGAGGCCCAGGTCTTAACAGAATACTCTGGTATAATTTATTATTTGCACAGTTCTTCCAGCATTCTCCATGGGGATATTTATATAGTTTAGGAGTCCTCATGATACCAAATGATATATTTCCCTATTGGTAGAAATTAAGTGATTGTGTGGAAGAATAACCCAGCCACTGGCTGAATTATTCACAAAATTTATGTAAAATACTAGATTTCATGTGGGTGTTTCTTAAATGTAATATTTCTCACATATTCCTTCTTCTCATGGTAGGAATAGTATTGTATGTGTGGGACAACTGTAAAAATAGCTGTTGAAAACAATAGGGTCTTTCATTGTGCAAGTTATTAATTTATTTAGAATACAGAAACTGAACAGGAGATATCTGTCAGCAGTCATATTGATTATTTGCCAGAATAGATTTCTGGAGCCCTATTTCACTGTCCAGATGAACCTTAGTCCACATAAGACTTAAGCCAAGTAGTAAGTCATGCTGTTTGGCTTAAGTCCTCCATGGGATGGAACAGGAAGGCATACTCAGATGAATACTAACAAATCATCTAGAAGACGTCAAATAATACAGGACATAAGCAAACAATTGCATAGAAAAATAGGAAGTTTCAAAGAAAATAACCTTCTTTTGTGTCCTCAAATCCAGATGTGTAATAATCTCTTATATACCTTTATTGTTTCATGAACTAAGGATTTTCCAGGGACAAAACAGAAGAATTATAATGTTATTAGAATACATAATAAAAAGCAATTCACTCTGCAGTTAATAACCAGCCTCATGGGTGTATTTGGCAGATGAAGAAAGTCCCAAAATGTCTACTTAAAGTAAGCACATAAAATGACTTACAACTCCAAAAAACAGAAGATTATCATTACATTGCAACAATATGTAGATTTACATCCTTTTCATTTTACTTTGTTTCTGTATTTTTATTAAGCAGTAAGCTATTTCCCTTTTGTCTTTTGTTTTTGTTTTTGTTTTTTTGTATGTTAGTGTTACACTGCTTTCTATTCATGACTTTAAAAATAAATTTGAAAAATCACTATATTATATACCATAGATGTTTCATGGGAATTTTTTTCTAAACAATTTATTGGTCTTACTTGGCTAACCTCTTTTGTTTTCCCTTTAATGCTACCTCATGTAGTATTTCATATAGATTTTAGAATGCAGTCTTATATAAGAGAATAACCTTGTGCTATTTTCCATCCCTAGAGCCACAGACTTGTACATTGAAAGACTTTCTCTGTGCCAATGGGGACTGTGTTTCTTCAAGGTTTTGGTGTGATGGAGATTTTGACTGTGCAGATGGCTCTGATGAGGTAGGCATCTTTGCAAAATTGAACTGAAAAGAAAGTTTTTTAGAAACACACTGTATTATTCAGTCCAATGATTGTGACGTGCACAGCTCTGAAATGCACTTTGCTCCTGACACCCTGAGATAAGAACTATATCCGTGCACTGTGCCACACATACCCAGCCCAATAGTCACTCTTATGCTGCTATTGACAGTTAATTTTATAGTCTGTTTTACCTCAGTAGTGAATGGCTGAATTGGGAATAAGATGCTTGAAAACCCTATTCTCAGTAGCTGCTGCCCTTGCCATCTGTGAATTTGATCATAAATTTACTGCAGTATTTATGGTCAGGGCCAATATTTTTATGCATTTTAAACAGTTTCTTCTCCCCAGTCTCTTTCTTCAATAGATATAGTCTTACAGACTTTGATATGGGTCATCAATTTTCATGAAACCACAAGTTGAATCTTGCTTAGATGATAAATCACAATCCATTTATAAGACCCAGGTACACACAATTGAAGTGAAAAAGTTCAGAATTTCTCTGGATAGTTCTGTAAAATTAATTCATACTCACTGTTATATCACTTTATATAGTGTTATTCATTCATCTATATATGTATGTTTCTGACATGTATTGCTCCATGATTCTTTAGAGATAATAATTATCTATATACCTATCTAAATATTTCCAATCAAACTTGAAATGGTCACAAGCCCATACTTATAATGTCGGAGTGAAGTGTAATTATAGTGACTTTTAATGCTTTACTTTTCATTTCTGAGTAGTATAAGAAACACAGGGCTTATGCAATCAAGTCTAATGGGAAGTGAAGGAGGAATAGGAGATTTCTGGTCCTCAGTGGCCACGATGGCTTCTGGTGAGACAATAGTTCTCTAGAGCTATTCTTGCTGTTCTTGTTGAGCCACAGATACACACATCCTTCCTTTGGGTTTTCAGTGACCATAGGATTGACCCAAGAGGATCCTCCTTGCTTCTTGAGAGTTCTGTATTTCAGCTACCCCCATCTGTTTTTCCTGAAGAGATACTACATGTCATATATATATATATATATATATATCCAAGTCAGTTCTCTTCCAGTCCTTAGGCATATTTAAGGGTTTGACATCATTTTCTTGAACAAGTCATCTTAATTACATTCTAAGGCCTATATTTTGGGAACAAATTCTTGTCACTTCTGAAATCTAAACTTCAAGGACACACAGATCTCTTAAGAGAAGTTGAAAAATTCCACTTCTACTGATGTCACTATTTACATGCAAAATAATCAAAACCTATAAAGCAGTTAAATTATTATTCCATTGAGCAGCCACATATTTACTTAAAACAAAAAACAAACCCACTTGCTATCATATCAATTCTGACTCATAGCGACCCTATAAAGCAGAATTGAACTTCTCTCTAGAGTTTCCAAGGATGTGAATCTTTACAGAAGCAGAGTACTTTCATCCCTTTCCTATGGAACAGCTGGTGGGTTAGAACTGCTGGCCTTTTGGTTAGCATTTACTCAAAAATTATATGAAATATTTCCAAGGCAAGAAAACACATTTTTTTTTTTCTTGAATGTAGATTCATCCATACAATTATGTTTTTGAGTATATTCCACAAGCCTGTGCAATCTGTAAAACATCAATACATGTGGATTCATTATCTCAGGCTTGATTTCATATTATATTTAGCCACTAAATGTGCAAGGCACATATACAGAGTCAATTAATTCCTTTTCAAAATCTTATTAAAAAAAGTATATATCCTCATTAAAACTATTTTTCTCATGCCATAACTTGATGGATATAGCTTTTTAATGTCTAATATATCTCTATATATTCAGACATTTTCATGAAACTTCCCCTAGGGAATCAAGTTACTTTGTTTGATATATCTTAAAAGTAGACTTTCTCTACACTTACAGATGTTGTTGATGTTATGTGCTGTAGAGTCAGCCCCAACTCATAGCGACCCCTCCTTGGGTTTCCGAGGCAGTATCACTATGGAAGTAGATTGGCCCATCTTCCTTCTGAGGAGTGGCTGGTGAGTTTGAACCACCAGCCCTCTGGTTAGTAGTCAAGTGCCTTAGGCACTATGCTACCAGACCTCCCACATATCTAGCTTATATGTAAGGAAATGACTAAGACAAAAGATAGATGATGTCTAGTTTTTTTTTTTTTTCCTTGAAGTCTAGATTGACTGAGATTGCATTTACTAAAGTCACCATAGAAATAAAAATAAAAACCAAAGATGCAAGCAAAAATGTAAACAAAGCAGAGGAATGAATCAAATGGCTAGAAAGCAAAAGCACACACAGATTACACACAGATTGTATGAATCTGAACTAATAATTTAATTTGCTTATTAATATCCAGACAAAGATTAATTTAAGAAACAATAAAAAAGTTGAATCAATCAAATTGTATATCAATTTGGAGGTATAGACAGAGAAGAATTATATTTAAAGTAATTTTGAAACACAGTATGTTGTCTCTGCATCAAGTATAATATATTAAGAATAAAATGCAAAAGAATCTTAAAATGCATTTATTATCTTGTTAATAGTAATATTAGTATTGCTAATTTGGAATTCATGTATTGAGAGAAATGTAGTTCAAATGTTTAATTGTACTGATGTCATTATCAGTCAAAATTTTCAGGGTACAAGAAGCAAATAAACCAAACCCACTGCTATCAACTCATAGTGGCTCCCATTGAGTTTCCAAGGCTATAAATGTTTTAGGAAGTAGATCACTTTATCTTTCTTTGGGAGAGCAGCTAGTGTGTTTGAACACTAACCTTCTGGTTAGCAGCTAAATGCTTTACCCCATACGCCACCAGAGCTCCTTAGGGTGAAAAAAAGGATACACAAATATAAAAACTGTGAAAATAATCTGTAATACCAAATTCAAAAGTATCAGTATGAAGACTTGATTTATATTTCTCTTTCTAAAATTATACATTTCCCAGCTCTGCCCTGGAAAATAATGATAAGTAATGGCAAATTTTCAGTAATTACTATCCTCAGAATTCACATTGTAGCCTCTACCTACTATTTCCTGATTAGAAAAAACAAGACCTTTAGGAGAAATCTCTGATTCTAGGTCAGAAAAAGGAAATGGACAAGATGATGCATCAATGTCTTCTTGAATCAGAAAATGAGATTCTTAGAATCATGTCTAACATACACAATTACAAACTTCAAGAGGTTCAACTGACCAAAGAGCAACAATTTGAGCATTAGAAGGAAAACTGACCTTAATGCATGAAAACATTAAATATATACATATCCATGAGTTCATAGCAATACAAAAAATGTAAAAAGCTCATTATTCTCTCTAGAAGTTGCTATATCACCATTCTTAATAGGCAATCAGCCTAATTCAGAATGTGAACCTTCTAACGAGTAAATTATCTAGTTTCTTCATGTAATAAATCACTTAACAAACAAAAAAACAAACAAAAAACTGAGAGAATGGAAAATAGTTATAGTTTAAAAGAAAATTCAGAGATATATCAACCAAATACTGTATGCAGACATATTTTGAATCCTTATTTTACTGAATAATATTTTATATAGTTAAAGAAACAAGTACATTTTGAATATGGATTAAAAATAAACTTAGAATAAGGAATTATTGTTAATTTTGTGATATTGTTATTTTCAGTTAATGTTATTGTTATTTGAGAATATCCCATAATACAAATAACTCCTGAGTGGTGTGGATTAAATGAGAATAATAGTGTGGATAATTGTTGAAAAAATAATCGAATAAACACACACAAATCAATTACACTAAAATTCATTGCAAATAGAAATCTTCTGATGATAGGAAAAGTACCTAAAATAGAACCTTCTATATTCTTTTCCAAACCCTATAGATGTGTCAGCATCATTAGTTATCGAGCTTACTTAAATGCATTTTATTGTTAAGATGACATTCATTAATTCTACAAATATTCATTGAGTAGTTACTATAATCACACCATTGCTCTAGTCACTTGATGAGCAGACAAACGTAATGCCTGTTCTAATGGGGCTTAATTACACGGGGTTTTAATTTATGTTCCTCATTTTCTACATTTACTAGTTAATTCATTCATTTACATGTTTACTAATCATCAGTTCCTATTGCATGCTTACTATATGTCAGTCACTTTTTTGATCATGAAGAGTATGGTTATGAACAAAGCATTTTGAATGCAATATCTCATGATCAATGCATGGGTTATTTCTCCTACTTTTTTTTCTCAGTATCCACCATTATTGTGCTTACCCTTTAGACATACCAAATTCTAGTTATCCTTACATGTGAAAATCCATAGATTTCTTGTGCATCATCCTTGTTGCTGCCTTCTCTAAATCCTCAATTTAAAACCATAACCATTTATTTTGACACTTAATATATTTTATTGCATGTGTTGATTAAGGTGTTAGTCTTTCCTACTAGTCTCTGAGTCTATCAAATGCAGGGAGCGAGTCTTAATGTTTTGTTTTCTTATATCTTACCAACTACAAAAGTCCTGGATAAGTGGTAAACATCAATACTTTGGAGAAGAACTAGGGGAAGGAGGAAAGCAAGAAGAAAAGAAGTGTATCATTTGTATTGTAGTCAGTACAATATAAAATTCTTTGCTGATGGTGTTTTCTTTAAAAAAAAAATCAACAGCAAAGACAAAATTACAAGAAGTTGGAAAGGATGCCTTACATCCTTACATAGGGATGGAGTAGGAAAGAAGTAAGGACTAATAGCTTTCTTGCCTCTCTCACTTGGAGTTCTACAAGCTGTGACAATGTTATCCCTTTTGCAGAAGGAAAAAACAAATACCTTTCGGCAAGAATAGAACTTGCTTAATGAGAAAAAACACCATCCAAATTTGACACTTCAATAGGACATCCCACTTCAACCAGTGTTTAAACCCAGGGAACATTAAACTCTGTGGATACTGTTCATTTAACCCATATAAAGAATTGAACAGTTCTCAGAGTTCAAAATGGAGTCTCGTCAGTAAA